TTTTGAGACAGTCTAAGTTGCTGAGGTTAGCTTTGAACTTGTGATCCTCCTGCCTCAGCCTCCTGAGCCACTGGGATTAGAGGTGTTCACCAACACACCCAGCTGGGTTTTCAGTTTTGAAGAAAACACTAAAAGAACTAGGCCATATGACCTCAAGTGCTTCTCTCTTTAGACCCTAATGTCACTATTCCCTAATGTTGCTGGCTGGCCAGACACTGCAACATTCCCAATGTTAAGTGGCTGCAGTGGGCTGAGGACAGCTGTACACTCCAAGTAGACTTTATGATCTGATTGTTACAGATCACTAATGTGGCCATTAGTGCAGGATGTTAGGATGGGGGTCAATGCCTGCCTCAGGACTGTGAATTTAGGGCATTTTTGCATCCACATGGGGATTGTTCATATTATTCTCAATTTTTCCAAATCAACACCTGGAATACACAATTTGGCAAAAATTTTCAAGATTCAAAGACATTGATAGTTTATGGAGATAATAGGCTAGACTATTTTAAGCTTTGTAACAGAAGAGCCAGATCAATGGTGAGGTACAAGGTCCCTCATGTCATCTAAAGGGAGTACTGATAACCACATTAATCTCAGGATCAAGCATGGGACTGTGAGATCAGATTTTTTGTTTTACTTATTTTTTTTCAGTGCTGAGAATTGAGTGGGGGCCTCACATGTGCTAAGAATGCACCCTACCTCTGAGCTAAGCTCCAGTCCTTTCTATTTTTATTTTAGACAGAGTCTCACAAAGTTTCCCAGGCTGGCTTCAAACTTTCCATCCTCCTGCCTCCCAAGTAGCTGGAATTATAGGCATGTACTGTGCTGGAGGTTGGATTTTTATCTGCTTTCTGACTCTGGTACAGTGGCCTTCAGTATCTGCAGTTCTGCACCTGTTGATTCAACCAACTATAGATATTCAGAATATTCAAATATATTCAGAAAAAAATGCATCTATACTGAATAGCAGTTTTTTTCTTGTCACTATTCCCTAAAAATATGATATATGAGTGTTTACATAGCAGTCACTTTGCATGAAATACAATAAGAGACCTAGAGATAAATTTTTAAAAGTCTATGGGAGGCCAGGTGCAGGGGTACACAACTGTAATCCCAGTGCCTTGGAAGGCTGAGGCAAAAGGATCTCAGTTTAAAATCCAGCCTCAGCAACTTAGCAAGACCCTGTCTCTAAATGAAATATAAAAAATGGGCTGGGGATGTGGCTCACTGATTAAGACTCATAGATTCAATCCCTAGTATCAAAATAATAAATAAAAAAAATAAAACTCTTTGGGATGATATTTGTAGGTCACAAACAAGTTCAGTGCCATGACATATAAAGAAACTGAACATCTGGATCTGAGTATCTGTGGAGGACAGAGTCCTGGAAACAGTCCCTACAGATACGGAGGGATAGATGTACTTCAAAAGACTGACTACATGTACTTTTCACTTTTTTAAAATTAAAAACAAAACAAAAACAACAGGGCTCAGGGTGCAGCTCCATGGCAGAGCACTTGCCTAGGATATGTGAGTCCCCAGGTTCCATCTAGCACTACAAAACCAAAATAAAGCAAAAAAAAAAAAAAGCTTCAGTGCCACATGACTACAGGTATGCTTGATGTGGATCCCCAACATGATGCAGGTCCAGATGTAGAGCAGTGGTGTTAGTGATCCTATAGTTGGTATGATTCATCCGCTGGAATGGACAGCCCATACCCCAGGCTTCAAGGGAGGGAAGCCGAGCCCTCATACTTGATGTCTGTGAAGCCTGTGTGAGGTTTGTGGTCCACACCTCCAATTACAGCACCACAGTCAACACAAAAGCTCTGCTCCATCGGCCTGCCACACTGGGACAAACAGGAGACATACAGTTAGCACTGCTCCAGCATTGGTACATGTGCAGAAGCTACCCTGCATAGGAGGCAGCTTGTGCCGCAGACTGCATCTGGTGCCTGTGTGTGTTAGGGAGGAGCAGGGGTCCTGGAGAGAGGATGGGCACTTAACCATGCATATTGTCCACGGGCAAATGTGGCTTCATTTTCCAAAAATAAAGTTTTTACTCCCAAGTAGAGTGACTAATGTGTATAGCCCCATCTTCCTTTCTCCCATTCACCACCTTCTCCATCCCTGTGTCTAGCACGCCAGCCTCTAGAGCATTGTTATCTAACACCAGGAATGATGGTGTTAATAACTTCTAAGCAGAACTCCTCACATCCACTGGACAAAAACCAAAAAACCCAACCATAAGATTTGCCACCACTAATGGGCCCAGATTTCCAAGTCAAATGGCATCCCACTGCATGCTATGAATCACAGCCACAGCAGGCCCCTCCAGCTGCAGCGCTCAGACCACAAAACTCAGTGATAAGAGTGGTCCTGGAATCTCTTCTTATTTCACTCCTCGGACAAGGAAGAAGTGGGATTCAGGAAGGTGAAGCCATATCAGGGCTGCATCTTTGTCTCCTGTTCACTTTAGGGAGCAGCACACATTAAGTCCAGCCAGCAGCCTGTTGCTCAGCAAGTGCAGATGCCATGAGCAGCCCGGGAGATGCCCTAGAGTCCCAGATGAGCAGCATGTGGTTGTCTCCCAGGGCTCATCACCTATAAGTCTTTCTTGTCCTCTCCTTTCCTCTGGTATCTAGCCCACATTCCTCTCTGGCTAGTGATCCAGCTGAGGGTCTGTGTGGCTGAGCCCTGCTGCAGGGCCAGGGAAGGAGGTAAGTCTCCCCACTAGCAGAACTATGGCATCCCAGGAGACTTGGGCAGTGCCTGCAGACATTCTTGGGCATCACAGTGGGCTAGGGGGTGCTGCTACTGGCACCTAGTGAGCTGAGGCCAGGCGTATGCTAAATATCCTACAATGCACAGACAGTTCTGCAGGAAAGAATCATGTTCACAGTCCATTTAGACACTCAGGTGGAACACCCTGAGCAGCCCTCAGAATGTACCTGTGTCTCCCAGAAGGTCGAGACCCTCATTCCCTAGGTCTTCCCTCCTACCCTAGAGGGGAATGCACATTTTGAGCCTCCCCCAAACACCAAGACTCACCTCTCCTACAGAACACGGATGACCATTGGGACAAACTGTTCAAAGAACAACAGGAAACATGTTAGCTAGTGAGTCTCCACCAAATGACCTATGTGGGAAGGAGAAGTTGCTGCCCTTCTCTCTGTCCCTGACCAACAGGACACACAGCCCATATTCTCATGATCTCACCAGAAGCCTTGAGCCATGTCATCAGCTAAGTTTACTTGACATGTTCTGGAGCTCAGTGAACACATGCCACCAGTGAAAAGTATCTTAATTTGGCTTTCTACAGCAGAGAGAGTTTAGATTCCAGACACACCTCAGGGGTAACTTGGTGGCAGGGGGGATAGTGCTTTATATCTTTCTATTGTCTTGGATTTTTCCTTTTTTGGCAATAGCATAATTTAGAACAACTTAAAAAACTAGTTTTAGAAGGTTATTTACACAAGGAAACAGCATAACTCACATAAAACCATGGGTTATGTGGCTGTCTCCCAGGTCTAGACTACAGGAAGCTCTCTCTGAGTCAAAAACCCCTGGATTATGGGCTAGGGTTGTGGCTCAGAGGTAGAGCACTCGCCTTGCACGTGTAGGACCCTGAGTTTTATCCTCAGCACCAATAAAAATAAATAAGTGAAATAAAGGTATTGTGTCCTACTACAAGTAAAATTAAATATTTAAAAAGAAAAAAAACCCCTGGATTGTGATTGGCCTTTGAATGAGCCTCAGCGTGGTCCCCAGGTCGCCTTATTCCAAAATGCATGTTCTGCAGAGCAACAGTGCAGCCCAAAGGGTCTTGTCCCATGACTATGCAGGGAAACGATTTGGTTATCTAGCCAGCCAAGCCTGTGGCCCTCGAACCAACAGGAGGAGGCAGGTGACATGGGCCTTCAGCAGAACCCTGTGAAGCCCAGGTCCAACCCTAGGTCTGGCATGGCCGCAGGTTGACCTTCCAAGCTGAGAGGAGTGAGACCCCTCCCCTTACACAGATACTCACTATACCAGTGGACGCCTTCCAGACCCTTCCATTTCTGGGCTTGAGCCAGCAGGTCTTCAGGCATCGTTGGAAGAAAAGCTTTCTGAAAGACCAAGAGCAGAAATGGTCCTGCTGAGTGGGCCTGTGGGCTGTGGCTGTGATCCAGCAAGAGGCACAGAGAGAGGAAGTTTCAGCTTGAGAGATGTTTACAGAGGACGTTCAATAGCTCTGTGTGAAATGGCAAAGGTGCACTGTGCTGAAGGATCAAGTGGGGTAATGGGTCAGAGAATCTAGAAGGTTGACAGGTTTGGGAGTTCCCACAGCCACAGGCCAGGTCTCAACATGAAAAACCACTGAAGTTTCACTGTGAAACCAAAGTCGTCATCATGCAGCTTACCACCATGCTGGCTGGGGAGAAGGCCAAATTCCTCAGGGGCACCAAGACTTTGCTCTGTCCACACAGAAGGACAGCCGCAGTGTGAACAGCCATTTCTGTCACTGTTCCTTCAAGGCTGTCGCCACCAGGGCCCGCGCTCAGCAAGGGCAGAGTGTTGGCCACGAGGGATGCTGCGAAAGGCCTGACCCCCGGAGGAGACAAGATCCTGCTGTCCTCAACGAACCTGTTCACAGCCTCACATTGCTGGCACGAAAGACGTTTTTCATGTTAGGATATGTCAAAAAGGAATACTGTGAATTTAGGGTTTTCTCTTTGAAAGTCACACATTTCAATACTGAGTACACATCAAATATCCAGGTAAACATAGTTAAATGATCACCAATGGAAGGGAAATTCTTCAAGAAAGAGAATTTTCATATAGAAACACAGCAACCACATTCCTGAGTACAGATCTTGATACTCTGTTTTGGTAAACATTAGATAATATTCCTGAATCTGTAAGGTTTGGGTTAAACAGAAAATAGTGCTTTCACACAACAAGGGTACACCCTTTATCCTAGATAGGAAATTATGGAAGGTCATAATTCCTATTATCCTGATAGGAAATAAAAGTTTGTGACTTCTGCTATGCTCAAAAAGTCCCTCCCAATCATGAGACTGAACATAAGCCTCAATGTGTCACTCACCTCTGGCTTAGGGTGGAGGTCTGCATTGTGAGAACAGTGGAGAGCAGCCACTTCTCGGAACAGCACCAGCAGCAGGTAGACAGCCTGTTGAGCTCTGGGGCTCCTGCAGGCCTGTGGGCAGGGCATAGTGCAAGCACTCAGAAGCTACAGAGCACTACCTGGAGCAATCCTCCCTGGGCCATGCACCATGGGCCTCCACGGACATGACTGGGGCTATGAGTTCATGAGACATGCTCGGGTTAACCTCAGTGCACAGGGACCAGGTAGCCATAATGGAGAAACAGAAGTCAGCACCTGTTCTTCTCCGACTACTTCACTGGTCTTGGACATGTTTCCTGAGAAGAGACCAGATTTTCCATTTCCTCTTCCTGGCATAAGGCCAGGATAAGTAGGGACTCAAAAAGGAAGCAAAACCAGAACAATTTAAAGATTAGAATCCTGGGGCTGGGGTTGTAGCTCAGTGGTAGAGTGCTTGCCTAGCATGTGTGAGGCACTGGGTTCGATCCTCAGGACCACATAAAAAATAAATTAATAAATTAATAAAAATAAATTAATAATTAAATTGTGTCCATCTACGACTAAAAATATTTACAAAAAATATTAGAATCCTAAAACCCTACAACAACAGATAAGCATACACATGGATTGTGAATCTTTATAGCTATGGATTTTGCTAATTGTGTTGATTGATATCTTTCACTCCCCATGGAGGCCATGGGCATCTGCCTCCTGGCATGTAGTATCACTCTAGGGGCTGTTCAGAAGCTCTCTCCAGCACACCTGCATCTTTTCACATAACCAGGGAAGATACAAGTGTGAGGGGTGCCACCTGCAACAGGGAGAAGCTGCAAGCCCATCCTACCATCAGAGCAGCCTCGAGGCTGGGGGCCTTGCACTCGAGCATGGCTTTGCCCACTGCATCACGAAGTGCCTTGTACTCATCCCCATGCACCAGGTATTGGTCCATCTGGCCCGTGTGGTCCTTCTGCAGCCCAGGAGAAGAGAGTTAGTCATGGTGGGACGGGGTGGGGTGGGGCATTCTGCAAGGACCCTTCTCCATAGGCTAAGAAAGACAGCAGACACTGCTGGAGGCTGGAGGTAGCTCAGCTGGGACTCCCTCTAGAGCCCAGGCATGACAGTCCTGGGGGTCTTCAGGAGCATGGCTTCCACAGTGACAGAAAGGCCAGGGAGGATGGAGGCTGACCCTAGAGTTTCTTGCTTTCTTTATACACAGCACCACATGAAGAAAGGTGACAAAAACATGTCATCTCTGAGTCCCAGTTGGTCATCTTAAAAATGCCAGGAGCTTTAGTGCCATTTTTTAACCCCAGGACAGTAAGACTTTACCAACTTTTGAGCACTGGGAAAAGAGAAGCCTGAAATCCAAACTTATTACACTTGTCTCTCAATTCTTACCCACCTCTGCCTGGCAGAGAACACACAACACAGCCTAAAAGTCGAGTCACCTTTTAATTTGCTAGAAGCAAATATTAATAGAAATAACCACATTCACTTTCCCTGTGTCCAAATCAATTAGAAGTGAAGCCTAGATAAAATGCAGGTGAACGACAAACTAGAAACACACACAAGTGTGCACACATGTGTCCATGCCTACCTTCGCCCTATGGCAGGTGGCATAAACCCACCCTCAGGCAGAGACCAAGGACCAGATGCCTGCCTGTGTCCTGCCTGTTGTGAGGGCTGGGAGGGTGAGGAGTAGTGCCCATAGCTTGCCCGCTCTGCCAGGGACCTGAATCTCACCTGCTGTGCAATGACTCCCTTGGGAAACACCCACTGGCACCTATGGCCCTCCCTGGAGAGGCTCTGCACAAATTCCATCCCTCGCAGGCTCGCGAGCCTCCGGACCAGGTACACGCGGTGCCAATCGTTCCCTGCCTGGGTGCAGAACTGCTGGACATGCCGCAGGTAGCCCTGCTGTTCCTCAGCCAGCTCTGAGAGTGCAAGGAGAAAGCTGGTTAGCGACTGGGGACTGAGGGCCTGCTTCTGGGGAACTCAGTAAAAAAACATCCAGAAGAGGGGACTGTGGTAAGGTCCAGCAAGACCTTAAGGACAGTTCCTGTCCTTCTTAACCTGTAGCTAACTTCTCCAAGGTAGAGAAGACCTGCCTGATCCCTCCTGAAACTCCAAGAGGAGGTCAGAAGCCCTGTCAAGACACAGGCGGGTCCTGGCCACCTCCTGCAGGTACTCTACAGATGCGGCAGTGGCAGGTCCTTGGCCTTGTCTCCCTGAGGAGCAGGTCTGTAGGAAACGGCCTTCTTCCCTCAGGCAGTCGAGTTCACTCCTTGTGCAGTAAGCACTGGTCTTCTCCTGAATTGAATCCTAAGGAACAGAGAACAAGAAAGAAAAGGATATTATACTTTTTAAAAAAATATTTGTTTTTTAGTTGTAGTTGGACACAACACCTTTATTTCACTTGTTTATTTTTATATGAGGATCAAACTCAGGGTCTCGCACTTTCGAGGCCAGCACTCTACTGCTGAGCCACAACCCCAGGCCCAAAGAATATTATACTTTGTAACAGGCAACTCCCCAACCTTCTAAAATTGGCAGTGAGAATTCAAGGGAAAATAAAGACCATCATTGTAGATCTGAGTATAAATTTTCATAGAAAACAATTGGAAAAAGCAAACCTATACAGAAAAAAAGTTCATAATCTAAAATTTTTATCATATGCATTATAAAATACAAAGACATTAAAAATAAAAAGGATTCATGATCTTGCCAGCTGAGGATGACGATTGCTAACCCTGAGGTGTACTCCTCCAGGCTGTGGTTTCTTCACTTTGCACCTACACGAACATGACTGTCAATATAGTCACATACTGCTTAACAACAGGGACACCTGCAAGAAACGCATCCTTAGGGACTTTCGCTGTTGTGCAAACATCAGACAGCTTTAGATTCTAGGTGAGGATCTCACAAGACCACCATCATAAACACAGTGAAGGAAACATCACCAAGCAGCTCGTGACTGTGCATGTGACATCCAAGGGCAGAGCAATGCCCTTGAAACAACTTTCTTTTTCCACATAGAGAAGAAGCATCTGTTTACTGTACTGAATAAAGCAGCATTCTGCTAGTTTTCAGAAACTCTGCCACTGCCTAAACTGTATGGTTCAGATGGTTTGTAGAAGAAAAGCAACAAAGGGGCAGCTGGCTTACTTCCAGGCAGTTGATGAAGAGCATGTAGACTTCGGTCTTATCTTCAGTGATGAACTCCTTCTTATCTAACAGGGACAAGTAGGCCTGGATGTAATCCTTCACTGCATGGAAGCTGTGAAAAGAGAAATATTATTCCTGGTGATGTCAGGATGGCAGAATCACAAAAGAGCATCCATTAACCAGTCAGTCATCTGCCCATCTATTTCTCTGGGTGTGTATAACGGTATAATACATACATATGTCCGTACATGGATTGACAGCTCTTTATTAAAAATGTATTTGCAAAGTCTTAAAGGAATATGAAATTCCATATTGCAGAGCAGTTGTTCTGAAACATTTTGGATTCAGGCCCTTTAATAGGCTTAAAACTTATTGAGAACTGCAAAGACTTTTTGTTTATGTGGGTCAAATCTATCAATGTTTATGGTTTTAGATATTAAAACTGAAAATTTCAAGAATATTTATTAATTCATGTAAGATTAAAAAAACACATGTGTTAATGATGTTTAAAAGAGTGGCTTTCAGGGCTGGGATTGTGGCTCAGCAGTAGAGCACTTTCCTAGCACAGGCGAGACCTGGGTTCGATTCTCAGCACCACATAAAATTAAAGGCATTGTGTTGTGTCCATCTATACCTAAAAAATAAATATTAAAAAAATTAAAAATCAAAGAGTGGCTTTGTTTTATATTCCTATAATTCTCAGAAGCCTACTTTAACAGAAGTCAGATGACTTCCTACATCTGCTTCTGATGCTACATTGAAGAATATGAAGAAAATCTGGCCTCACATATAATGCAGCTGGAAAAAAAGAGAAAATTTTAATAGTCCCTGCATGTATTTGGGGTTCTGAACCTGTAGCTAACTTCTCCAAGGTACAGAGGTCAAAAGCCTTTTTTTTTTTCAATATTGTTTTCCAATACTGTATCAACACTTGAAAAGTGATCATATCTGAAGTCTGGTTATGGGACCTGATACCCTATCAGTTGTTTTCATCATCAACTATATTACAATCACTTAGTCTACTCTGATGTGTATTTTTCCCAGGGCTATGGATTGAACCAAGGGCCTCTCTGTGTGCTAGTCAAAAGCTCTACCACTGAGCTGCATCTCCAGCCACTGGATCATTTTTTGACACCCATGATTCTGTGACATCAGGCATTGGTCATTTGGAAAAGCCTTGCTTTGCTGAGCAAGGCAGATCTTGAGATGTTGGTATCTTTTTGTTTTTCAACCTGTTGTTGTAGATTCCGACCTACATTCATTAACATCACCACAGATCTGTGGTCTAGTGGTCACTGGTTCAGGCAAAACAGCAAGGCCTGAGAACAGCAAGGCCTGAGAAAAGCAGACAGTTCTATCTGGAGACCATTAGGAGTGGCATTCTTTGAGATGAGCACTGTCCTCTGTTATGCAGTGTTCTGGGTCTATTTCCTGCTTCTACACAACATTAAAAATTGCAACCTCAAGGGTTGAGATTTAGTAAAGCTCATAATTGAAAGTGGCATTTTAAAAACTATCATGTGCACAGTGGAGAAGATCATGACTGTGGTTGCAATTTCCTTCATGCACAGAGGCCGGCGCTTCACCTACCACTGCTTTGGCAACATTATTGGAAATATCAACATGTTTGAAAGGCAAATTACTATTTCAGTATTATTTTAAAAAATTCAGAGCTCAGGGATGCCCTCCCCACCAAAGGGTCCCCACCAGCACTCTGAGAACTGAAGCTAGATGAACACACAGGATCAGCCAGAGGACACCATGCTTGGACATCATTGACCACTTGTCTAACCAAGAAAACAGAGAGTCCGTGTGCTGTGAAATCTGGACTTGAAGGACAGTGAGGGTGAGGGAGAGTCTGAGTTACCATACCACAAATCACACCCTGGGGTGGCCATGATCCAGGTTCAGAATCACCATTCCTAATGCATGGGTTCTGCATGCTTCACCACACCAAGGGTCCTTCCCAGAATTCTGTCTTCTTACTTTGTACCCACCCCTGGCCATGACCAACTCACATACCCACAGGGTTCAGTGTCTAAACATAAACAACAGAGACCAAGTTTCCTTGAACTGAAGCAACTTTCCCAGATCATGAGCTAGGATATGTGGCAGCACAAAGACCAAGCCCAGCCCAGCCCAGAGAAGCTGAGGCCTCAGACAAGTGTGCCTTCAGGGATCTGTCCCACCTGTACTTCAGGAGCAGCTTCAGCACCACAGAGCGGATGACAGGAGTTTTATCCACAGCATCTTCAAATGGCGAGAGAGACTTGGTGTGTTCCTGGTATCCTTAGCCAGAAAGAGAAAGGTGCTATTGCTCATATCATGGCACAAAACAGAGAGGAACTGAATCAAGATTTGAAAGAAGAAAGACACTCACGTTGGGGAGCATCTCTGAAGAGCTCCTTCTGCTCGAAGAGTAGAGACAGCAGCTCATCAATCACACTCTTCTGTGGAGCGCTACTGTCTTTGAAGCACATGGTAGAAACCAGGTCCATGAAGAAACTGTTGCACATCTGCCGGAACTGGGCATGTTTCCCAATGGCCACCCTGAGGAAACAGTGAAAACCCAGTCAGAGGATTCAGAGAGAGTGTTCCCAAATCCCTGCATGCAGAATAATTTGAGATTTGGACAGCATATTTATGTCAACAGATTCAAGTGTTTACTTCTGTTGATTAGCTGGTCTCTAAAACTTCAGACAGCATCTATACACATCTCTTCCAGGAATACCTCCATCATTGAACCAGCTCAAGCTTGTCACAGAACCCCTCCATTGTGAGGAAGGAGAAGGCAATGCAAACACTGATGGAACACAACCACAGTCTGAAGCTCACAGCACCACACCTCCCTTCCTGCACCTCCCAGAGGCTGGGAAATTGCTGGTGTGTGGCTCGATGGTAGAGGGCTTGTTTGCCTAGACTGCACAAGGCCTGGGGTCTACCCCTGCACCTGCCACCTACATTAAGAAGTGGACAGAGAACCTGCACCTAAGTTTCTTAGGTCTCTTTCAAGGGTTTCATTTATTGTTTCTAAATTTTGATGTCTCAAATGTTGTAGGACATGTGTGTCTTGGGGAGAGAGAAATTCTGAAGCACCCAACATCTAAGAAGTGCCCAAATGGGAGTCTCACTTAAGAGAGTTCTCTGAAGACAGGCTTTTACCAGAAGGCGGTTAATATAAATTGAATTTCTGAATATTATATTTGAAAAAAAGAACAGAGAAAGGAGGAAGACTTTTAAAGAGAAAGAGTGTTTTACTTGTGCTCTTGGGAAACTGTCACAGAGAAATTGTCTGTCAGGTCAGTTAAACAGTAGGGACAAATCATCTGCCCAGGGATGAGCCAGCTTTTGATGCAAGACAGGCAGCATACATGGTAGACACACAGGATCTTGAGCATCTCTCAGGCAGGTGGGGCATGGCTGTACTCCACACCTGGAATCCAAGCAGGTGATAGGCTCCAAGGAAGATACTGGATTGAGGTGCCAGCATGCCCCAAGGACAGTGATCCCTCCTGCCTGGAGCCCAGACCCCTTCTCACCTGGCTAGGCTCTTGCTGGCTTGCTCCTTGCACTCACAGAGAATGGTCATCACAGCCACAAAGGGCCTGTGGGTCTTGAGGTCAGAGTTCTCTTGAAGACACTGGAGGAGAAAGGCCTGGTGAGGGGTGGCACCCACTGAGGAGGGGCAGGGGTCAGCTGTGCCTTGGGGCAGCCCAAGGCCTCAGGGATTCTTGGCACTTTCCCATCCTTTTATCTCTTTGTGGCTATGCTGCTTTTAAAAGAGAAGAACCAAATTCCAGGTGTCTAAATTTTCCCTCTTCCTTCCTTTTCTTTTCAGGTCTGCCCCTTCCCTTCTCTTGATGAATTTCAATCTTTAAATGATAATAATGTAATGACCATTGCTACACACCATTAAGCTCTGAGAGACCCCAGCATTTTTGTAATATTGGCTTTAGATCTTGTTTTATTTATTTACTTATTTAGAGATGGGGTCTTGCTGTGTTGTCCAAGCTGCTCTCAAACTCCTGGACTCTGGGCGGGGTTGTGGCTCAGCGATAGTTCACTTGCCTGGCATGTGTGAGGCACTGGGTTCGATTCTCAGAACCCACCATGTATAAATAAATAAAATTAAGTATTTTATTTTATTTTTTTAGTCGTTTATCAACAACTAAAAAAATTATTTTAGTAGTTTATCAACAACTAAAAAATTTTTTTTTAAAAAAAACCCTGGACTCAAGCTATCTTTCTGCCTCAGCCTCCCAAGGAGCTAGGACTACAGGTATGTACTGCCACCCTAGCTAGATCATATTTTAAAGGAGTATCACAAATATATCCAGTTGTGCAACACAGGCATCCCTTTCTGGTCGAGTGCCCCCCCCCCTCCTCCCAGGTAACCATATTCCTAAGCTTCTCTGAGGTTTTGTGTGCCTGTGTAAACACCCTGTCATTGTCCAGTTTGTTCTGCCCCTTAAGCCCTGAGGCCTGGGAGGCCTCACTGTAGGCCTGCTTGTGTGATTGCCTGGTTGAGAGGCTCAGCTGCAGATCACTGGTGTTAACCACTGTATAGCAGCCCCCAATGAATATTGCAGATACCTATTTCCATTAATGGGTATTTAGTGTGTATTTGGGTTTTTGTGATTCTGAACAGCACTGTACAACAGTCTAGCATATGTTAGCTTCAGTGAAAACAGGAAGTTGGGCTGGGGAGCAGCTCGGTGGCACAGCACTTTCCTGGCCCTGAGTTCCACCCAAGCATCACAAAATAAATCAAAGTGTCTCTGGGATACTCATATACAAATAAACATCTCTAGCAATGCAGATAGTGAATTTAATGATTTAATGGCTGTTTCTGAGAGTTTGTGGTCAGATATGATGTTAGTACAGATGTTCCTATAGGAAGTAGTCCACTGGGCATTATATAAGTAAGGATAGTTCCCTATTGCTACTTTGCTAGAGCATTTTTTTTCCTACATCATAAATTTTGTCAAATATTCTCTACATTTTGAAATTATTTTTTAGAGTTTATTTTTGAGCTATATAACTGATGCTACTTATAGATATTTTTTGAGCCATCCTTGAATTTTAGGGATTGATCATACCTGGAAATGATGTGTGTTGATTATCCTGATAAATTTGATTTGTTAATAAAAAACAACTCAACTCAGCAATGGGCAAAGGACTTAAACATTACTCCAAAGATATATAAATACCCGAGAAGCACATGAAAAAATGCTCAGTATCACTAGCTATTACAGCAATGCACATCAAAACCCTCTGAGCCAGGCTCAGTGGCACACACACAGTGACACAGAGGCTGAGGCAGGAGGATCATGTGTTCAAGGCCAGCCTCAGCAACTTAGCCAGATCCTGACTCAAAATAAAACAAAGGGCTGATGTGTAGCTTGGTGGTATATGGTAGAGCACCCCTGGGTTCAATCCCCAGCACCAAAAAAATTAAAAGAAAGAAAAAGAGAGAGAGAGAAATTTAATAATACAATGAGTCACCTTCTAAGTATTCATCCAAAAGAAACAAAAGCAGGCCTCAAATAAGTTGGTGAACACCAAAGTTTACAACAATCACAACACTCAGAAGGTAGAAGCAGCCTGAATGTCCATTCACAGATGAGTGGACAGACTCAGTGTCCACCCATACAGTGGCGTTCATTATCCAGCCATAAGAAAGCCAAATGCTGACACATGCCACCATACAGATGAACCTTGAATACATTGTGCTAGGTGACACAAGCCAGACACAAAAGACAAATGCTGAACTATTCCACTTATGTAAGGTACCTGTGGCAGTCAGAGTGACAGAAAATAGAGCACAGGTCTCCTGGGGCTGGGCAGGGGATGGGGAGTCCATGTTGGGTGGGGAAGGTGAGGACACTCTGGAGCAGGATCTGGTGGCTTCCCAATACCCATGTACTTAAAAGTGTTTACACTTTTGTGTTATGTATATTTTAGCACACTTAAAAAAATCAGCAGTGGCCTAGTGATGGGGTGCTGGACAGGAAGGTTAGGGATAGGACAGAAGGGAAAGCCAGTTCCCTGTGACATGTAGAAAAATGCATGACAGACATGAGCCATGAGAATTGGTCTCCCAAGCAGCCTGCCTACCTGCCTAACACCTATCTCTGTCTGCCATGCCTATCCCTCTTGTCAAAGCTGATGGAGAAGACTTAAATACCCATCCGTGCTGGCTACTTTCAGCTTTTATCAATAGCCGGGGGTGCATGCTAACTGTAGGAGGGAGCTCTGAAGTGGCAGCCTGCAGGAGGTAAAACTTGAGACCCCAGGCGTCCCCCACAGTTGCACTTAAGCTTCCAACCAGAGGAGGAGGACAGCAAACATCAATGCAGGGCAGCATCCTTTCCAGGCATCAGGTGGCCAATGAATGGCCCTGAGGCTACCCTGTAGCTGGATCGGATGTACAGAGCAGAGACCTGTGTACAGCACAGGCTTCAAGCTCGGGAACTAACTGGGTAGCATCTGTGGCTGTGGTTACTTGCACAGGGATATGACTAGAAGGAAATGATCCAGAAACCAGTGAAGTGTTTGACGTCATTACATTGGGGAAAAAGTCTTCCACCACCTTGAACATGCGTATACCAGCATGCAGGGTCAGAAAACCCATCTCTCAGCTAGCAGGCTACCTGACCACTGGAGACCCCACTGGATCTGGCTGAATGGCTAGAGGTCTGAGGGTCTTGGTTCGAACCTCTGTAGCAGTGGTCTACTTCATTCTTTGAACATAGCCTTTGCTGCTCTAAAGCAGACCTGTTTTTCTCTCCTCCTTGATCTCTCCAAATTGTCCTTCCTAACCTCAATAAAAACAGGACTCCTTTGAATTGCCCTTTAAAAACACTCTGTTTCCCCTGATTAGGGGAATCACAGTCTCTGAGACAGGAGTCTCTTGTTTTTCTCCTTTGCTAGCAAAGAGATAAAACTTATTTTTCCTTTTTCTCAAAGAAAAAAACCACAACACCAAAGACCCATAAACCCTTCCAAGTTCCATGGCACATAAGTACACTCTGAAAAAGGTTTCACACTGCCTTTCAACTAGACAAGGCCAAGGGACCTACTTTAGGATCTTGAAATACGAACTGGAGCCTGTGTGTGTGAGGGTAGGGGAAGCTAGGCTGTGGTTTTTTTTTTTGGTACTAGACTCAGGAGCTCTCAACCACTGAGCCACATCCCCAACCCGATTTTATATTTTATTTAGATACAGGGTCTCACTTAGTTGCTCAGTGCCTCACTGTTGCTGAGGCTGGCTTTGACCTCGCAATCCTCCTGCCTCAGCCTCCCAAGCCACTGGGATTAGAGGCATGGATCACCATGCCTGGCTTAGGCTGTGTTCTTTAAAGGCACTGTGTGCAGGGGTTTGGGTGTAGCTCAGTGGCAAGACTTTAGCCTTCCATTCCTGTCACTGCCACCCCCACTTCTTTTGCTCCTCAGGCTGTGACAGCAGGAAAAGCCTTCAAAGACCAGCAGCTGGAAGGTGGTCATTGAGGAGGACAGAAGGGCAAGAAACAAGTAGTGGGAGCACCTGGACCTTGGGAGCTGTGAGCAAGCCCTGTCCTGCACAGGCCATCCTGCACAAGGCCTCTGACATTCTGGTCAAATCTGGGCATGCCAATCTCCTTCCAGTGTGCCTGCCTACATTTCAAAGACTGCATACCTGTCTACAGTGGCCTTTCTCAGACATCCTGACAGTGGGCATTCTGGAGGCCAATGACCTTCTACTCATGGGATATGCTCATGCAGCTGTCACCCAAGGTCAGCCTCAGGTCACCGGGTGAAGGAGGTGGGAACCATGTTGTGGTGAGTGGCTGTTATTTCTGGACAGCAGAGATGGTGGCTTTCTGTGAGGGGCATTGGTTGTGCTGTCAATAGCTTTGTCTGGTGTTGAGGGCAGAGGCTCAGTGGTTTCCCGTTCTTAGGGTCTCACCGACCACATGCATTTTAAAGTCCTCAGCTCCAGTGGTACTCTTCTACATTGCTGTCATCCTGCCTAGAGTGGTGGTGACTTTTCCCCTGAGGGTTAGGATGCTGACCTGCTCCAGGTTACCCTGGAAGTGGGTGGAGCTTGACCCTTCAGTTCTTGCAAAGCATCCACAAGTAAGCTCCCTGCAGAAGTCCCATGCTGTCCAGTGATTCATATCCCTAAATGACATGCCCGACTCAACAGTCAGGCAGGGCAAACTCCTAAACAACTGAGCTTATCCATGCAATGGCAGGCTGATGAGCCACATTCCCCTGTGTGACTGGGTGAGAGTCCAGCACTGACTGGCAGGTGAGGGTGGAGTGGGCTCCCACACTCTGTATCCCACCAAGAGGAATGCCCAGTGCTCACCTTGTCTAGTGAGAAGATGTACTTGGTCACCAGCTGGCACAGCTCAGGAATCTGGCTCTTGGTCCCCAGGAGTATGTGCTCCACAAATAGTGCAATGGGGAAAACACGACTCCACTGGGTTCTGTCAAAAGAGGGTGTTATGCACTCAGCTTCAACAGAGGACTCTGAGACAAGAGGAAAGGACAAGAGGGCAGGTGTAAGGCAGCATGGGAAGGTGAGCTGACAGGAGGGGTTATCCACTAGCCCTCCTCCTGGCTCTCCCCCAGCTCTCCATACAGGCAGGACCTGAGGTCTAACTTTGGTACCTCAGCATGCACTGCTACTGTGCCCACTCTCTTATAATTCTGCACACGGTGATTCCCTCTTGACCCTCACAGCACAGCACAGGTTGAGACCCTCCCCAACTCTGAAAGCCTGCCCTTCTGCTTGCCCTGCCTACCCCTATCCTTTCTAATGGTTCCTTGTCACCACAGTGGTTCTCCAGGTGCAGCTTAATAACCTGCCTTTCTGTGGCTCTGGGGCACCATGGCCTCCCTGCATGTGTTTCTCCTCTTTCTCCAACATCTAACGAGATGCCTGGCACTTGACAGGGTCCATCAAGAGCAGATTGAGTGCATAAAAAGCCCTTCCTGTGGCAGGAGCACCTGCTCGCTCTGCTGCCAGGTGTGCCAGGACCTGGAGTCCACTGATGAGCACAGGCTGAGTGTGCCAGGGAGAGCCGAGCTCTGGGTCTCACCTGACCTCTGCAGTGACAGCTCTGGCTGTGCTCCCACTGCCTCGCAAGTACCCGTCGGAGCAGACAAGCTCCAGTGGTATGGACAGCTTCTTCACCAGCTGCAGCCAGGCCTGGGGACTCGGCTTCAGGGCATCTCTTGTCAGCATTTCAGCACAGGCCATTGCAGTCACCACATCTAGTGTCTGGGAAGAGGAGAGTGGTCACGTGACCCCACAAGGCCCTTGCCCCTCCACCCTCCCTCTTCTTTGGCTGTGGCTTCCTTAGGCCAGAGGTCCTGGCAGAGTGTGTCCTTGCATTCCAGGCTCATAACCTGCTCCTTTGGGTCTTGGGATAGAGGAAGCACTATCCAGCTGTTCCCAACACCTCTGAGCTATGCCGACTCCCAGGCCCCTAAAGGGTCTCTCCTTGTGCTCCTGGGGACAGGCGCCTCCCAAGGGGCTGTACCATCTCACTGCCAGCCATGTCCTGCTTCTGTACAGCTTCAGTGAGGCTCTGCAGAACCTGCGGGTGGATGGTCAAGATTCTGGAGAAGTTGTGCAGCCGGGTCCTGAAATGCTGATAGGCCAGGTGCACCCACGGCAGGTAGAGCCCATCTTCAGGCCTCCCTGAGGCTGCTCGCAGCTCACAGACACAGGACCACAGAGCCATCTGCAGAAACTGGGGTTTTGAAAGGTTTTCAGTACGTATTTTTAATAAAGAGATTTTTTTTTCCTGTGGGAAATCAGAAATACTCAAAAATCCCCAAAAAGAAAATAACAAACCAGACTTCCTATCTCCTGACTGCTTTTCAGTAGAGCCTCTAGCCATTTTCCTAGCTGTGCCTTTCCTCAGAATCATCCTCAAATCAGAATCACTGTGTTCCTGATTTTTTTCCACTCCATGTTAGAGTATGAGAATTCCTCTGTCACTCATTACCTGTGCAAACACTGTTTCCAATGGTTTCAAACAAACATTTTAAAGTGGCCATACTTTTAATTTGTTCCTCCTTCACTTATTTGGACACTTAAATTGTTTCTAAGTCTTTGTGATCAGAAACAAATCTGGAAAGCCTTGCTGTGAGCACCTGCCCAGACTCTGCTGGCACACACAACATGGTTAGCAGCTGGCAAGAGAGGGGACAAGTTTTCCAACCACCATGCCATGTGACCATTGTTCAGCACGTGCCTTTCTTTTTGAAAACTGGGTTTTGCCAGATGAGCAGGTAAAAGTGGCATCTGAAGACTATTTACATTCTCTTGACTTACTGGTAGAGTTGAGATGTGAGCAAAGCTTTCTAGATAGCCGCATGATTACACTCTGTGTAGCTGCCTTGTAACTTCTACCCATTTAAAAAAAATTAGGGTATAGTCTGCTGATTCCCCAAAATGCCTCATTAATCTTATGTCACACTGGCTATAGTATATTCTGCCACATTTGTCACCTTCTGTGCTGTGTTTCAACTACCAAGCAGCTGAGTTTCCATCTTGGGCTAGGTGGCAGCTCTGTAGAAAATACTTGCCTAGCATGCCTGAAGCTCTTGGTATTCTCCTCAGCTCCAGAAACAAAAAAGTATCAACTTTCCACAAATTTCACTTATTATTTTTACCTTAAGAGGTCAGTTATGTATTTATCTTAATATTGCCTACTAGAACGTCCCGTTCCAGGAGGCCTTGGGGATGACGAGGACTAGCCCTGTGTTCTGAGTAGCTCAAAGGACATTCTGAGCCTAGTATCCTACGTGGCCTCATTCTGTTCTCCCACACAGCAGCACCAGCTCTCAGAAGCTGATTTCCAATGTTTGGCCCCAGTCCATACTGTGCAATTTCCACATAATGACCTTGAGTGGATACTTACCTTCAGCTCCTCCCAGGTGGACACTCTCATGGTCAAGAGAAGGAAGTCCCTCAAGTAGCACTGAACCAGCTCCTGCTGCTGCTCTCCAGCGAGCTGGGCAAGAAACATGCCCAGGGGAGTCTGCTGGAAGATTTCCACTAACTTCTCTGACCGTCCTGCAGGGAGGAAGCCAGAGTGGCTTGAGACAACCTGAGAGAAGCTCACTCCCCAGAAAGGAGCCACAGGCTAGTGCAGCATGCCAGGGCGACTTAGAGACAAAGTATCATTAGCTACCTTATGGGAATAGAGAATGGTGGATGTATAGACTAGGACACACAGAAAAGAAGGGGGCCTGTTATACCAGTCGAACATGTAGCACAAAACTAAGGCTACCTCATATGTTTTTTCCTGTTGGGGCTAGCATGGCTTTTGTTTTCCAGAAAATCAGGACTGGGTGGACTGCTCATCAGGGCTGGGGTCAGAGACTACACCAACCAGAGAGATTTGCCTTTCAGCAGATAGGGAATCAGCTCCCAGCTGTACAGTCTCCAAGATAAGCAGATTTAGGCAGGGCATTGCCCAGGTGAAGAAAAGAAACACCCTCTAGACTAAAGACAGACTGTTTCATTTTGGTTTAAGACAAGCAACAGAATGCAAACCCGGGAAAGTAAGTTCACTTTGAGCATATTGGTTCTCTAAGTAAATCATGAAAACATATTTCACATGTACGTAAAAATGACTTTTCAAAAACAGCACTGCTACTGGCTTTTCTGGAATGTCTATGGCCAAACCCTGCCCCCAGCATGTGACAGCAGAGCACAAACTGTCTAGCTTCTGTGACTCAGGAGGGACTAACAGCTTAGCATGGAGAAAGAGGACAGGTTCTTTTTGTTGTTAGCATTTGCTAAGAAAACTTAAAGGGGATGTCTCCTGGGTCTGAGCCTCAGGATGGGAATGGTCAACTTGTAGCAGGTAGCAAGCCCTGTCCCTGCTGGAACATGCTCCAGTTCATCAGCCTGCCGACCAGTGCACCACAAAAATCACCTCACAGGCTCCCTTCATGGTGTGACTTAAAAGGCTTCTGACCTCCTGGAGACTCTCACTTCTTCAGCAGAGATTTTAAAATGAAGGCAGGACATGAACTTGAGCCTATTCAACATGTAAAATATGAAAACTACAAGTCTCAGAATTTACCAGGTGCTAGCTGCTGTCTGCCTGCTGATAGTCAGGCAGTGTCTTTGTGGGTAAAAGCTGCTTCACCAGGGCTGTATTGGGCCCATCTTGAGCAGGACTCACCTTTTGCATCCGTGATGTACTGAGCCTGGACCCAGAGCTCTTCCAGATAGTCCCTGATTCTCCAGCTGAAGGGGACTCTGTTGCAAGCACCCTCGGGAATGCTCATATGGTTCTGCACCACAATGGAGGATATCTTACTCTCGGATCTGCAGTGAGATGGGGTGAATGAGAATGGGTTCCTGAGATGGCACGCTGATCACCAGAGGACATGGGCCACAGTCATTGGTGCTGTGGACCTGGGGTGGCTCTGAAGTAGGGTGCTTGCCTGGCATATGTGAGGCCCTGGGTTTTATCCCCCACACCACAGCAGTGTTCATAGCAGCACAATTCACAAGAGCCAAATTTGGAACCAACCTAGATGCCCTTCAATAGATGAATGGATAAAAAAGCTGTGATGTATATACACAATGAAATATTACACAGCATTAAAAGAGAACAAAATAATGGCATTTGCAGGTAAATTATTGGAGTTGGAGAATATCATGCTCAATGAAGTAAGCCAATCCAAAAAACCAAAGGCTGAATGTTTTCTCTGGTAAGTGGATGCTAATCCATAATGGGTCAGTGGGTATAGGATGAGTGGAGGAACTTTAGATTGGGCAAATGGGAAAGAAGACAGGGGAGGTGGCTTGGAGGTAGGAAAGATGAACATCATCACCCTAGGTACAATGTATGTTGCACAAATGGTATGACCTTACTTTGTGTACAACCAGAGAAATGAAAACTTGTGCTCCATTTGTGTGCATAAATTGAAGAGCATTCTGCTATCATGTATAACTGATTAGAAAAAAAGACAGTTTTTTTTTTTTGAGGCTGCCCAGTCAGTTGCTATCTGCCTTCCTGGCCAGGACTCCTGTGTACAGAATTGGAGGGCCACCTCATAACCTTTGACCCTTATTTATAGACAGAATGGAAGCAGACCACATGAGCATGGCCTAGGAAGGGCCCAAAGCCTTAGGCAGAACTAGGTCTCCAGTGCCTACGCCTGCCTATCTCCTGCCCTCTATTGGCCTACATTCTAGAATTGAAGTCCCTACAATCTTAAGAGCTGGGGATCCCCCTCCCCAGTACTGGGAATAGCATAAGGGAACAAGAGCTTAATAGACTAAGGACACATTCTCTCCAAAGGGCAGTGTCCCTACTGCACACAGAGTCCAACCTGGCTTTCTGAACTATAACAGATGCCCTGAGAGAAGGATATGAGGAGAGAAGAGATAGAACAAAGACCTGCCAGGATGCCACAACCTCTAGGTTGTAGAAGGAGGTAGCACAAATATTTTTCAGAAAGCAAAGCCTGTGTTCTCAAGCCCAGTACAGCTACTGAGGATGCTGTGTGGACTTTCACTCACCTTATGTGATTCATCACAAGTGGAATGTTCAGCAATTTAGTGTCACTGAAAATAAATATCCACAGGTCCTGGGCCCAGGCTGGTGAGTCTGGTCTGATCAGAAGCTCAAGGTTGCCATCTCTGTCGATGAGAGAGATCATGCTGGCCAGCAGAGGGGTGACTGTGCCTTGGATCCTCTTCCAAAGGGTGTGCCTGCAGCAGAGGCAGGACAAGGGACAGGGGACAGGGGACATGGGACTGTGGCTCAGCACCATAATCAGTGCCGAGATCTCTATGCCTCCTTCCTCTGTGTCAACAAGCCTTCTAGCCTACAAGCTAGGGCCATTAATTGAAGTTTTCATCACTTTTAAGTATAAGAGACTCACAAATGCAATTGACTTAAGATTAGTAGCAGGACTAGATGGAAGTTAATTTTACATCTAGTAACTAGTGCCTTGAAAAGGTAAAGAAATATATGCTGATTTGTATATAATGTTTCTTCAGAACAAGACATTTAAGTTCTATAAACAAATCAAATAATGACATACTCACTAAAATCAATCAATCAATAAATAAATATTTCAAGAAAAAA